TCGGGCTCCGACGTTGCTCTGGACTTAACTCACTCATTACAGAGTATGTAGTGTCAGGTCCCCTGGAAGCATTACTATGTATACCAAGCGCTACACTACATAGTACAGTACCGAGCAAGGTAACGTTAGCACAACACCTCTCCTGGCTCTCGTCGCCCAATACTTGAAAGAAAAAGAAAAGAGACGAAAATACGAATAAGACACCGATTCTCTAGCTCCATTCCCCGAGTCCCCGATAAGCTGGTGGATTGACACGACTGGGGAACTCTTCAATCAGGGACCAACCCGGCTCCGGCTGGGCTTGTCTGTGCGGCCCGGGCTCTCGGCACGATGCTCAATCACTCGGGTTGAAGACAGGCGGGCAAAAAAGGGACCGACAAGAAAAGGAGTCAGACCACGGAAAGCACAGATCCCACAGATCCGCAGATCACAGCACCGTCACTGCCACGATGGAACTCTGTATTCGTACAGAGTGCATTATTGTTCCTTCTCGCTTTCGCTTTGGCTCTTGCTCGGCAGGAACCCAACAACAACTTCCACTGTAGTGTACATTATCTCTTCCCAACTGAACTTCTCACGTTCACCAACGAGTCTCGGAATCCGTAGGAGGAAGTCGAAGCGAGAAAAGACGAAAAAGATCCGACGCGATGTCCCCATACCACGTGCTAAAAACGCACGGCATTATCATCGCAAACCGTCTCTCTCCCCCCGCATTTCTAAAGTTATTAGTGTACACGCTAACGGCAACAAAGTCATGTCATAACGAAACTACGAATACGCTTCTGTTCTTCCACCTTCCACCCCTTTTCTTCATCGGCTGTCGGGCATCGGCATCGGCCCATCGGGCCATCGTGCCACATGCAAAGACGGGTAGTCGCCGTTCAGGTGGCTGGTCACAGGTCACACTGGCCACTAACGTTAAACGACCAATGTATGGCATCTGATCCATCCATGTGTGACCTTTTGGTCCCCTTCTTTTTTCTCTTCACCGAGTCGATTGAAGACCGAGACGTTTTTTTTTAGTCCTTGTCCCCCCCCGCCCTCTCTTTCATTCACCCCACAACCCCACCATAGGTATCTTTCGTCGTCAGCCCCAGAAAACCCTCCTCTCATCGGTTTCAATGGGAGGGGGGAAGGAGGCCTTGAGGAAGATTGCCGATCCCACGTTAGAGATGTTTCTCTTCTCCTGCGCGCAACATTGTATTTCTAATGAACCGGGAACGAGTTGTGGCTTAATTGACGTTAACGTCAACTAGTTAACTGGCTAGTTAACGTTAGTCCACTGCACGTAAAGTTAGCATGTCTTTCGCTCGGTCCTCAGGTTCGGTCCCTCATGTCTCAGTTTGCGACATGGCTAACGTTAGCCCTTCCCTTCCGTCGGGAAGGGACTCTCATCAAGCCTCTCTCAAGGGAGGGAGAGACAAAGTCAGAGACAAGAGACAGAGACCCATGCGTGGCCGCATCGCATCTCATCTCAAATCTCATCTCGTTCGTGACCCCCTCCCGCAACCCCCGCCTTGCGCGCCGCGGCAAGCCGCGGCCGCTGTTGCCGCTGGAAGGGGGCCCTTCTGAGCCGCTCTGGTAGGGCAGGGATCTGCTTGGCTTTGTTTTGCTGACCGATTTAGCCTTATCTGGGCTGGGCTTGCGTGCATGTATGTACTTGGACGGATTCGTCCTTGTACATCGTTCACGATGTGATGCCCACGAGGCGCGCCTGCATGAGACCAGACCATGATGAGAGAGGGGTGTGTGTGAGTGGGTGAAGCCGGTGAGGGCTAACTTACCCGACAGACTACACACAGGAAGGCGGCACAGTTTGGGTGGGGAGAGCGTTACTGTGTGTGTGTGCGTGTGTGTATGTGTGCGTGTCCCAAGGGGGTGGGTGAGCCCGATTGCCGGGCGTTGAGATGTCTGAGAGTGCTGCGGCTTTTTTCTTCTTTTTTGCTTCTTGTTTGCTGGGTCGTTGGGGCTAACTAGTGTAGTGTGGTAAGTCGGGTCGTGATGGGTTGGGGGCTAAACTTTGACGATGGGGTGGGACGGAGATCATGGCCTGATGTTCGGGACGGTATCGAAACAAGACTTGATTTGAAATGGAAGGGACCGACTCTACGCCCCTCTCTTTAGTCCGGGATCTCGAGATGAACGGTCTCAGTGCCAACTAAACCTCCCAACTTGAAGCTACGAATCACAAGTGCGGCTTTTTCTTCTCTCCATCTCTTTTTCGTGAGAAATGGGGGGAGAAACACGGAGAACATGGCGGTAAGACACAGAACATTCGAACGCCCTTCCTTCCTCTTCACGGGCTGTGAGAGCGAGCAACAGCAGGGACCCTGTGTGAACCAGCTTCAACCAAGACAGACCCAGCCAGCCACTCCGGTTCCAACCCGAGCATCCTTCCCGAGTCAACCGGCCCGGGATCGAGGTTCCATGCTACAGGACTTTTCATAGGGCGCCTGGCCTGCGTTGGGCCGGTGCGAGATGCAACCAACGGCATAGCCTAATTAAGCGAAAAGCAGGATGAAGAAAAAAAGCAACAAGTACACAGATCTCGCCGGGGCAGGGTCAGTTGTTAGTCCAGGGCACCTCCATGCTTGTACCACGATGGGTGCGCCTCTTTTTGCCGTTTTTGGGTGCCTCGTGTAAACCGGAGGATATTCGAAAGTATCTAGTATTGAACACAGCGTGCGCGCGCCTGCGGATGGGTGTGAGTAAGTCAATGAGTGTTCGGCACGACAGTGATGAGGGCAGATACCGGAAGAGGCGGATGTGATGGGAGAGACGACGGTCACTTGCGCGTAATAGACGTATACATGTAGGTATGTACCTTGGGGGACAGCAAGTGGCTTGCGCCAGGCGGAAGAGATGGTCAGCAAATTGCGAATGAGCCTTTGGGCGTTCAGCCAACCGACCAACCAACCAACCAATGCCAACGAACTGGTTCTCGAAGCCTCTGGACACCTGCAGACAGACACACGTGGTGTTGATTTCCCCCCCAACACCCACACTCGGATATCCGCGAGTGATGAGCCAGTGAGTGATAAAAGAGACACAAGCAGACGGACAGACTTCCTCGGTGTACTAAACCGCAGTGACAACAATTCGCAACTCCCCCTTCCTTTCTTCATCTACCCCCAGATCTGATCAGCAAAAGGATATCGGTACTCCCAGACATACATACCCCCCATCAGCCTCTCTCTCGCTCTCCCACTCCCGATGTGACTCTCTCCCCCAGAGTAAGCAGACTTGGCGATGAGAACGGCCGCATTGGGCCGCATAACCGCATAACCGCAGCTGCCGCGCCCCCGCCTCCCACACGTCTCTTTTCGAAGTGGGCTGGGTGCAGATAGAGTGCGAGGAGGGCTTGTAGAATCCGAGGTACTTGCCTGCATACCTCCACACACCTGCACAGCTACATACGCAGCAGTAAGCAGAACGTGACTGGGCCGTTTTGCGGATGGCGCTACTGATGGGTGGGCGTTTGGCTGTTATGTAGGCGGGGGGGTAATTTTGCCGTTGCGTGTGTTGTGTTAAAGAGGATGTTGTTCTAAAGGCAAGTAGTTGTTGATATGATAACTGGTGGTGATGCATTCATCTTGCAACAAGGCCTTTATTAAGTTTTCCTGGCTTATGCCCTGAAGCAAAGTGACTCGTAGTGTATTGTGTTGAGAACACCAAAATATAACGGGATATTGTCCTATCGTAACAGGTTCTATTTTTTCTCAAATGACCGCGTCGAGTTGTGCTCATGTGTGTGCCTAATTAACAATAAATAACGTTCAAGCCTGCGGTTGCTAGGAGAGATAAACAATAAAAATAAAGATAATATTATCGTGTATTATCCTGCCTTATATCCGGGTTGGTTAAGATACTTGCTTCTTCAGAGGAGAAAGTTTTGTCAAGTTAACTGAAAGCAGATATGACAAATATCTATGAATCCATAAATGACGTTACTTAACGATGTACACTCTTCCATCCTAGGATCATCATCTCTTGAACCATCTCATAGAATCCATATTTAGAGTGTTGGGTGTTTGGGAACACAAAGCACACATCTAGGAGGGAACACTGTTCGTTTTATATCTGGCATGGTTACATTGACTGAGACGTAGCCCATCAGTCCACAACCATAGCTGAGAAAATGTGTCAACACCATCAACGGCACCAGAGCTTCTATGGCGAAATGTGTCTGTGTAAACAACGCCTCGGAGGGCCGGTAAACAGATGCTGTTAAAAAGGGGGGGGAAACAAGCCCAAGAGAAATAGCCACCAGTCGACTTATCATACCTACCTACTACACTCATCAAGTTAACATTACACGGTGTTTAATTTAAAATAGGCCACAGGAATGCCCATCACTAGCGCATTAACCACATTTTCGCTGATGGGCGGAAACAGAATGTGTGAATCAACGTGCTAGTTTTGACGCATGACCAACCGATATAAGCCGGCGAAGGCAGCTATCTCTAGGATGGTTATACTCCTAGACCGCTTACTATTAAAACGTCATCTAGGATGAAGAATATCGCTGGATCAACATGGAAGATTCTGTAGTTCTTCGTACCATGGCAGGACACGACCACACAACTGAATGAATCCACAACATGATGAGACAACACAATAAACGGTAAGGGTGAAATACTAGGCGGTAGCATGTAAGAGATGCAAAACATGGAACATGGCGTCGGTGTGAGGGTTGTTCCCGATGACCCAAGCCACTTGGGCACCCTCCGTGCCTGGTTCAGGGGACTGGAAGCCCCAAAGCATACCATCGAAGCCGGCGTTGACGCTTTTCCAGCAACTTCGGTCATCGGCCTCGCCCTCCCGCTCCGCCGAATGCAAGTGTTTGAAGCACGGGGAAATAATTACAAGTTGCACATCACAAGTTGCACATCAATCTGTATGTCACTAGGACAGTTCACCTGTCCTTGGGGTCAGGCTGATCTTATCACTCGCAGGAGGGAGTGTGGGCGAAAGTGGGCGAGGCGAGGTATGCGCCAAGCTCACTTGAGGAGGACCGCGCTGAGGAATTGCAAATCCTCGCTCTCCTCCGTTGCCGGCTTGTCATGCTCAAAACCATTGGCCAAGAAGAGACCAATCAGTCGGGCAGTCTCGATACGCCGCCTCACATTGTCAGATGCGCCTCCCAGGTAGTGGTAGAACCTGGTCCAAAAGTGACCTCGGAGCACCTCGTGATTCGGGTGGTAACGCCAGAAGCTTCCACTCGTCGTCGCCACCCCAAGCATGGTCTCGAGACCCCCTAGCGACATCCCGAAGGGAGAAACCTCGGCGTTTCTCCAGTCGCAGATTCCCACAATCTTACCGGTGGCCACGTCCACGTGAATGTTGTTCTCGAGAAGATCGACATGGTTGGGCACAAGCGGCCAGCCTTCAGCAAAGAGGTCAGGTAGTTGGTGGATGAGCTGGTCAAGGGTGGGGAAAAACCGCTCGGGAAGCCCTTGGCGCAGCTGTTGGAGTTGTGGCAGATAGGTCCCAAGCAGTTGGTTGCCATCTGGGCAGGCCATCTCGGGGGGAGTGTTGTGATATGCCGACGCAAGGAATCTGCCCAACATCGAGTAGTCGACCATTTCCCCGCACTGAGCCGGGAGGGGTTCACAAGCCTTGCATAATCATCGAGGGTGGATCGCAGGAGGTAACAGTCGTTGCTCTGGAGCTCGGTTCTGGCCAAGTACATGCAGGACCCTCCAACGTTGTTCATGGTGTAAATATGGACTTGACCAAGCTGGCCTTGGTACTCGTGTCGTGGCACAAAGCCCTGGTAGGTTCGTTCGATATCTCGGACAAAAACCATGTCCAAGGTGGAGGTTGGAACACGGAACTGGACGACGACATCTCCCCCTTCAACGGTGTAACTAGTTCCGCCCTGGGAAGGTGTTGCTGTGACGGGCTGGCCCGTGAATCGCTGGGCTTCTGCGTCACATTGCTCCCGGGTGACGGAATCATTCTGGTTGAAAAAACTCCGTATCTGGTACTCAGACAGCGCGGCAATATTTGGAGGCATCGCGTCGAGGGCTTGAGTTGTTTCGAATTCGTGTAAGTTCCCCGTTTGTAACACCAGCAGCCAACCGCAACTTGTCCGCATCCACCACACTTTTCGTGCCGAGGCAGGTTGACACGCCAGGCAACTCAGCCATTGGAGCAGGGCCGCAAATGCGGTTGGTTGGCATTGCCTCAATCGGCTTGTTGGATGGGATTGGGCGAATCGTGGTCTCGGATCAGTCCCTGCTGAGATCGTTGCATTAACCAACTGCCCACTCCACAAGGCTTAGCAACGATTCAATAATCGGCAGGATACCAACACGTTTCGCCCTCGTGTTTGCACCCAACCAATCCTGCGATACACTTTGATACGCCCAAGACACATCATTCTCCCCCCAGAGCTTGCCAACCCAGAGCCAACCTGCCAATTGCTTTCTGCTCTGGCGGGGAAACAGTATGGCCTCCTGGCGCAGAATGACTATCGAAGACGTCCCCGACCTCCTGCGAGTCGCCGACCAAGTCCACCCGGGTCTGCCTGAGAGCGGCAACGTCTTCGGCGAGCGCGTGAAGCTCTTTCCAGAGGGCTGCCTGATTCTCGCCAACCAAGACAAGGTGTACGGCTACGCGATTTCCCACCCCATCCGCCAGCGGCAGCCCCCCGCCCTAGACACCCTGCTCGGCGGGATCGCGCCGGACGCGGACCAGTATCATATACGTCTCCATCCTACCGGAGTTGCGCGGATGCGGGCACGCCGCCGAGGGCATTCGCAGACTCCTCGAAGTGGCCGGCCGGTATCCGACGGCCTGTCTCGTCTCGGTCTACGGCACGGCACCGTTCTGGAGCCGCTTCGGCTTCGAGCCCGAACAGGTCGATCTAGCTCTGCTCGAAAAACTGCGCAACTACGGAGACGATGCCGTTTACCTATCGCGGAGAAGTGGCTGATGGTGCACGGAGATGGCACCTGAAAGTCTCGGCTGATTCCTTACCATGGCGTACGGGCCCGCAGGTTGCCGATGGGAATCATCGCTCTTAGAAGAAATAGTAGTCAAGCGGGCCAGTGGGAAGAGCCCAGGTCGGAATGCATTCTCGGATTGTGTCAGCCATGAAGTTGCATTGCAGAGATGCCGTTCCCTAAGCAATCCAAAGCTTCTCGTACTCTGCATTGCCATCTGCCCCGCCATTATCCAACCCGAAAATATCGCTCCTGCCTAGCAGAGTAACACAACCACGTGCTGAATCTGAATATCGGAAAACGAGTGGGTTTTCGCAGTGCCTCACCAGGAAAATGTGGTCACCAGGCTCAGCGTTGCGAGGTCCGCGTCCAATGTACCCCTCTTCGGTCTCTATCAACTTCGGCCCACGCACCAATTTATCATATAATCGGTGACTACCCCCGCTTCCGGCAAGGCATCGATCAGCTTGTTCCATCCCATCAATTCTCGCACATCAACGCCGGGGAATACCGCCTCTTCATACATCTCCGGGAAATCCTCGCCCAGGCCCAACCCCAAGAGTGAGCTTGCGATATCGAGCGGTTCTCCTGGAGGGGCTCCCGCGCGGAACACGTTGTTGAACGCAAAGATGAGCCACCCAATGAATCCACAGGCCACCTCATGGACACGTTTTGGGTACTCGTCAGGACTCAACGCAGCAATTTTTGCCTGCATCACCAGCCGCACAAGAGCTTGCAGAGGCGGGATACCCGTCGGGTGAGACCTCCCACTCTCCCGTTGCGCGACCAGGTTGTCCATGCAGAACCGGATCATGTCCAATTTCCATTGCTGCTTGCTCTCGGCGAAGCGGCGGAGCTGGGTAACCTTCCTGACGGTGTCACGATGGCGGCCGTCCACCTTCAAGACACGGCCGTTTTTGAGAAGCTCCACAGAGAAGCCCCCGTCACGGCCGTCCTCCGTGTTTTCTTGGCCCCCTCTCTTCAGCCACTCGACTTGACGGTAGCCCTTGTAGTTGAAGGTATCCGGAACCCACGACGGCAAATCCAACTCAACGTCGGTCCAGCACTCCTCTTTGGCGGTCACATAAGAAAGAAGCTCCATGTTTCCGTGCTGCAACATGGCCTTGGCTGCCCAATCCGCATACACTTCCCAAACGGCCTTGCGGTAGCCCGGAACAATGCCATGGTCAGGGATCAGATGAAGCAGCCCGTAAACAACGTCCCGCGGGTCGGTCGACGCCCGGGTATTGGAGATATAGAGGACGAACATTAGCGATGGCGCAGCGAGGCCGACTTGGACGGCTGATAACCGCGCTCTCATGCCGAGTTCGCCACGGATCCCTAACGTGACATTGGTCCAGATACTGTCGCTCACGCCGTCGATCTTTTCCTCACCAAAAACAGTTAGGATGCAGTCGGCCAGCGTGTCGAGGTCGGCCTCGGCGAAGGATGCCGTTCCACAGATGCAGACATGCGTCTCTGGGTCGGCGAGGAGAAGCTCCTGCGTGATCCAGACCCGCCGCCACTAGTTCGACTGAAAGAGGTGGATCAAGTCGCCCAGTCCGGCGTCTTCTTCCTGCCAGATATGTCCTGTCTCACGCAGCCAGTCCTGCAGCTGGTCGTTGGAGACCGGCCGCCTAGCAGCCAGCTCGGATCCATCGGATCCATCCGGGGCGGTGATGATTCTCAGCCCCTCCTTGAAGCGCGTCCACTCCCGCACAATCTCGGTGAGTGCGGCCGTCCCTTTTAGGAGCCGGTCGTCCGAGCCCAGCCACGAGATGACGGACGTGGCGCGGCGGTAGATGTCACCCATCATGGGCAGCTGGCTGTTTCTCTCAGGGACGTCGTCCTGGTTGATGCAGACGGCGTCGATCCACAAGGGGACGCCGGACTCCCTGGATCCGATGCCGCTTTGCCGCAGGTGCACCAAGCAGTCGTGGAGATTCGATCGCACCTCAAAGTGGCGGCCGTTCAACCGGATACGGTGGACCGGGTCGTCTGGGGCCCCCCAGGTGTAGGATAAGGCGTTGTAGGCAGGCTTTTGGGATAGGGAGACCGTCGTGAGGGTAGCCTGGATCTCGGATACGGATGTGGAGTCGTCTTCTTTGGTGCGAGGGAGAAGCCACAAAATCCGAATTTCTTGCTGGGAAGAGTCAAGGGGCTGATATTGGGAGTCCTGAGACATTTTGCGTTGGTCTTTGGCGCGGCGAGGAGGTTCTGGGTTTGGGTCTCTGTTTCCTTCCTACTTAAATCTCGAGCGGGGATATGTCACGATGAACTAACAGGGGCCCGCAGAGGTGGGATGGCTTGCATCAGTGCTGGGGGGCGCGGGAGAATGACCCCGGGCTAATTATTTTCTGACCAGTGAGGAAGATGCTCTGGCGGCTTGGCAAGAGAGCAACCATGGACCTAGCCTTGTAAGATGCTCTCTGTTTACTCTGGGAAAGAGGATAGAGGGGAGGCTGCTCTACTATATGCTCTAGAATACAGTATAGGGAGCGAAGTGTTCTGTAATAAATAGTACAATGGAGTATATAGAGCTACTGGGAATTAGGTAGCACATTGGCTATCCAGTCACCTGTTCTAGAACGACTTCGGAACTTCTGTAGTAGGCAATTGTAGAATTATTTTGAGAGATATTAGTTATCGTAAACCCTTTGACTTTATTGAATCTAATTGTATAGTTATATATATCCCTAGGTAATCTAGCGTAGAGATCTACGGCTGGTGCTGTTGAGTTGTGGACGACTTTTGAGTCCCAGTCGTCGATATCATTGCGATAGGGGGCCGGGGGGAGAATAGATTCCTAGAGGAGCACAAACCAGAAACGCTACCCCCCCATGGTCTCTCCAAAGGCCCTCTCAGGTCTCTCTAAAACAAGTTCACTTCGCCGCTGGCCGGCAGACAGACCTCCCAACTTCGAACATCGGCCTTGGCCAATTGCGAGGTGCGTTGTGAGCGCTGTCCAATCCAATCCGTCGCTTGGCCCCGAGGCTCTGGGACGGCAGTCCAACAAGCCGCCAAAGCCAACCGCCGGCCTGCGTCGCTTGTCGCAGCTGCCCCTGGTTTGCAGCAACCAACATTGCTTGTCACCATTGGGGTCCAAAAAGTGTCCGGCCAAGCGTGGTGGTCTGTCACATTGAAACACGTTCCATGTCCCATGGGGGCTCAGACGCGCAACCCTCCAACCCCTTGCGCTGCCGCATGCCAGCAGATCATGACCGTGGCTGGGAAGTCATCTTATCTGTAGCCGGGCTTTATCAAAAGCGAGCCGCACATCAGGTTGAGCTTTGAAGGAGGAATGACGATGTCTCAAGGAGCCACAACGGAGTTAGTGCGAACGAGGGGGTCTCGGCCGGGGGAACTTGCAAGGAGACGTCACCATAATCTCACCACCTCAGTGTCAACGCCAATCAGTCCGAAGACGCGATAATGGTGGGGGCCATGAGATCAGTGTGTCTTGGTGTGGTGTTGGCAGTTGGGTCGGGTAAACCAAGGTGATCATGATGGTCCAGCAGCCCAACCCGACCCAGCCTCCGTCGGCCAACCTTCCAAAAGCTCCACGCCGCAGGCCAGGCCATTACCGGGACCCAGGGGTCGGTCCGCTGTGCCCCCTGATGGCTCCTTGTTCAGCCCCTGAGAGGTAGGATGGGATGAGCATACGTGAATGAAGGTTGTGAGTAGAGCCGTCCGAGGACCGGTGGCATCTTGGCCACGTTGGTCTGCTTGCTGGCTGGCCTTGTTTCACCGGATGAAGTTGGCCAGGAGAAAACCACAGGCGCCATGAACAAAAATAGTTCGGAGTATCTACGCGGTTATCACAGAAGAGGGTTCTCAAAGATGACGAGGCATTAAAAGGGGCGACTCTTTCCACATCCTGCCTGTCCAGCTACCAAACAGCACCAACTGTCAGATCTGGGATCGACATTGCAACTTGACGTTCACCAACCCTAACTTCACTGCATCCATTTTAATTTCTCTTTATCTCTAAGTTCCCAGCACGATGGCGGCCATCGAACGGCATGATCTCGCTCTTACCGTCCTCCAATGGGCCCACGCAGTCCATAACAACAAAGAAATCCGCGACGATGTCAAGAAGCCTGGATGGATCAACGAGCTAGCTGTATCCGACTGTACCTTCAGCAACTCAGCCTCCGACATCACCCACACCGAATACCTCCACCTCCGCACGGTCTGGTATCATTATCGTGGAAGACATATTGACAGTTTCGCCAGACTGCTCAAGGACAACAACGAAACTGGATACAGGGGATTCATATCACCTGAGGCGGATGCTCTCGCGACCAAAATCATGGAAAGCAAGTCTGACTCCCTGAACCATTACCTGAAAGAATTCTACAAAACCGCGGCCTCGCCAGGGTACTTGCAAACAAATTCCAAAGCCGGTCTTTGGCCCATATTTGCCTTCCCAATTCTGCATTTCACCACAAGCCTTGATTCTCTGTTTTTAACTTGCTCGGTTCTTCGGCCCCTAACCGCCCTTGGCCATTTGCGTATTGGGGGCCAATAGGCTTATGGTCGTTGTCCGGGCCACAGCGCACAAAGAGATCGCCTGCCTCCACCAATCACAGTCCGAGAAAGGACCGGCGAGGCGGTCCGCGCTTCGTTCGTTTGCACAATGTCCTGCGTGGCAGCCTGCTGGTGAGAGAAACAAACATGCCGGCAAGAAATGGAATTTTCCTTCGCTTTTGAACCGCTAGCATCACCCTACAAAGGAAGGAAAGCAGCCTCTCTCAAGCTCACCTATTTCAATCTCGATCCTACGATATCCTTTAGAATTGGCCGTTTCAGCACCCGAGTGCCGATACACCACCACCCTCCCTGAGTCCCTATTCGCGATGCCGGCTGACGTGCAGACCGTGGAGGATTTCCGGCGGGCCGCTGTTGAGCAAGAGCAGCTACGCGGCGTCCAGCAGATGAAAGAGGACCTCAACAATTTCAATGTTCATGTTCTTAACCAAGAAAACCTAGACTCTTTAGGAGTTGTCATGGGCCGGCCGCTTGATGTCGACCACGACGGGTCGTGGGATTTTGGCACCCGCTTCTTTCAGCCTTGGGTCCCCGAAGCGGTCGTGGCCAACGCGGCTTCCAACTTCACTTGGATGGATCAGCTCATAAAAGGGATGACGCCCTCCGAATGGGAGTATGGCTACAACAAGGCCGAGTTCTTCCACTATTGCCTCGAGAGACTGTACGAGATGGATCCGGAGCTCTGGGAACCCTGGAAGTATGATGCGCGGCGTCCAAGAGCGGAATACACCTTATATACTGACAAATGCGTCCTAGAATCGACCCTCAACAGATTAAACTAGGCACAGGGCTCGAACTTCCTCTCTGCCGATGGCGAGCCTGGGACCCCCTTGCCGGCGAATACGTAGAGAGGCACTACGAATCGGAGGCAGCCTACTTCCCCGTCGACGGAACCAAACCCCACGTTGCTTGTTTCGTCATAGATTCCAACGTTGTGCCAGGAGGTCAGGTCCTCTACAGCGATGTCGACTACGCCCTTGCCTTGGCCAAGTTCCGGCTGGACAAGGGCCAACACACGGCCCACCACACCAAACCCGTACGTTCCCCCCAGCCCCATCCATGGATCCCCCCAAAAAGACCACGCCACTAACCCGGTCGCGAAAACCCCCGAGCGCAGGGCATAACCTACACGCTCGAGCGGGACCGGTTCGCGCGCATCACCCAGGCCCACCTGGACGCCAAGTCCCACAAGCTGGTGCTGCGCCAGTCGCGCCAGCTAGACCTGCGCGGGCCCGAGCCCACCCCCGACGCCTACCTGCTGGTCCGCTGGATGGCGAGCCGGCCCGCCGGCGACACCGAGGACGCCGACGAGACGGAGCCCGCGAAGGACGCCACCGCCGCCGCCGACCCGCCCGGCACGGCGCCCAAGCTCCTGCCGGGGTGCGCTTGAGGGGGGGTTGTGATGAGGGTGAAGGGACGTGCTTGGGTGGTTGTAAGTGTGAGTGGGAGCGTGGCTTTCCTGCTGGGCGTTTCTATGCCGAGTGTTCTTTTGGACGTGGCGTCCCTTGCTTGGGGGTGAAGGCCATCCGTGGCCAGCATTTCCAACTTGCAGTGTCCTGTGCATAGTTTGTGGCGACAGCGTGTTTGAATTTCATCTCCAGGAAATAGATTGTTCGACCCTAGTACAAAGAGGACTGCGACTCGGATTGGAAATAACGGTGGCGTGCGCGCCACTTTCTACTGGATGCGGCCGAATAATTAGCGGTCTTTAACATCGCCTTCACATAGTAGGTCGAGGGTGATATCTCTAATGAGCTCGGTTCTCATAAGGGCGTTCGGGTTCCGGTTTCGAGTAGCTCTGGAACGCGCCCTTTCTTATTCACACCAACTTAGGTAAGCATTCGCACTCTCATCGCGGAGCTCCAGCGACGGGTCGACGCAAGTTTATTATAGGACACCACTAGATCTGGCGCAGTCATCTGAGGATTGGCTAGCATTGAGGGACAATATCTCAAATCTAGGTACCGTACTTCTCATACGGATAGGTTGAGGACGCAGCTGACTGCTTCCGTCGCCAAACGCAGAACGGGAAAACCTCAGACGTCGAGTGCGGCAAATAATTGACTCGCTTCGGAACAATGGTGGACGTCAGGCTTCTGAGCTCCATTTAGCGGGGACAACGGGGACCTAATTCTGCCCGGCGGAGAAGAATTTAAAAGGTGCGATGGCCCTCCCAGAATCAAAGATGTAGAGGGACGGGCGCTTGATGCGCGCGTATGCCAACGACGCTCGAGTTTCGCTGTGCCTTTCGTAAGGCGTTCTTGGCTCCCGGAACGGAGAACATAAGGTATGGAGTGGCTTCACAGGGCTTGGCTACGGAGGTCTGTTAGCTTAATCCAGTCAAAACCGTTATCGCCCCACCACACTTGCGTTAGATTCATTTTTCGCACCCTATTAGGCTTATCTTATATAGTTGGTTTATAATATAATAACTACTCCCTTTCTTTACCTTTTATCCTGAAAGTCCTAGGATATTTAAACAACTATATTCTTTTAACGCTAATACTTCCCTTTGTCAAGGGCTCAAACCTTGGCCATGAGCAGTAGTGTTGGATCGTGGCCGATGGCCTTGGGTTGACGTGGCGGGGCTGTTCCTCTTCCAA